ATAGATGGTATCCCATGTTATCAGGAGGGACCAGTCCCTGGAGAACATCATGCTTGATGAAGTGAATGGTCAGAGAAGGAGAGGAAGACCCTCAATGAGTTGGATTGACACAGTGGCTGCAGCAATGGGCTCAAGTGTAACAATGATCGTGAGGAGGGCGCAGGACCAGGCAATGTTTCGTTCTGTTGTACATAGGGTCACTATGAGTCGGAACCGACTCGATGGCACCTAACAACAACAATAGATGGTAACATTTAAGAGCTTACTATGTGCCCAGCACTGTGCAGAGTGCTTTAGCTCACTGAATCCTTGTAACAACCCAGTGCAGAAGGCATTATTATGATCTCCCATATTTTTAGATGAGAAGATAATAGGCCATAGAAATATTGGCCTAATAAGCATTTCTGGCACCTCTTTAGTGTGTGCAGGGCATTGTGCTTGGTACTAAAGTTCTCAAGAGGCAGACGTGGTCCTTGCCTTTAAAGTGTTTATAGTTCTCTGGGAGACAAGGGGTTTGCATGTACTTCAGTAGTGCAGGATAGCAGGTGAGCACCCAAAAGCACATCAGCACATGTGCTTTAAGCATTCGTACAGGGCGAGACCACTCCAGGCCTAGATTCTTGCAGAAAGCTCTTCTTAGAACTCTTGACATTAGCTGGACTTTGAAGGGGTTGAAATAAAATATTACATGGAAAGAGGGAATGTTTTTGACAATTTGGGGAGACAATAGCTTGAATGTTTTGTCTTGAGTTGAAGATTTAAATCAGGAGGTCCCTAATTTGTGTCTTCAGGGTCAGGCAACTAGTTCTGTGAACAGTAGTAGAGAAAGGGTATTCAGATTGAGTTTTCCCCACACTGTGCTGCCATCAGTGGATTTCTAGGAGCTAAAGTTAGAGAGGCAGGTTGGAGCCTAACGTGCTAACAATCTGATTCAATAATAGTAACGATTATGACAACGATGACAGCAGCAGCTAACACTTATTGAGTGTGTACTATGTATCAGATCCTGTTTTAAATGCTTTTGCATGTGTTATCTCATTTAATCCTTAAAACCAACCCTATAAGGTAGTTTATAGATACAGGAACTAAATTAGCCTCAGAGAGGTGAAGTAACTCACTCAGTAAGAGGGAGAGCCAGGATTTAAACCCAGGCAATCTGATTCGAGTGCTCTGCACTGCAGTGAATCTAAAATTTTTCACTTTGGAAGATTCTGTCAATGGTACCATCATTGTCTCGAAACTTGCTATTTATATACTGAGTGTCATAACACACACACACGCACGCACGCACACACACACACACACACACACACACACACACACCCCTATTCTACAGATTGTCCAGTAAGCGGAAAGCAAGGGGCAATTTTGTTTCTTACTCATACTAGTAAGAAACTTCTCCTACATTTTGAAACCGATTTGTAAGACTACGTGAATGGCACAAACAGTTAAGTGTTTGGCTGTTAACTGAAAGGTGGGCGATTCAGGCCCACCCGTAGGCAGCTTGGAAGACCTGGCTATCTACTTCTGAAAAATCAGCCATTGAAAACCCTATGAAGCACATTTCTACTCTGACATACAAGAGGTCACCATGAATTGGAATCAACTCAACGACAGCTGGTTTGGTGTGTGTGTGTTTGTGTGTGTGTGTGTTTAATCGATAAGCATTAAGAACCACTTGTGGGAGAATGGCTGGGACATGAGAGCAGCTTTTAAGATTGAATGTGACAAGTGGTGTAGAATGGCTAAGTAGAAAGATGACAGGAAATACATGAGGAGACGAGATTAGTCAAGGCTGTGAAAAAAGTCATGTTGATGAAGATCATAACCTTGATTGAGGAGAAGGGCTTGGGCAGAAGGTGGCAGCAGGAATATTGACTGCAGCGGAGTTTTGAAGGTAAATGAAATGTGAACTCTCATTTGAGTCACAGAGGACAATTGCCATGACAAGTGACGAAAGGAAAAGATGTTTTCTGCATTGTGAGAGGAAGTGGGAAAGGGGTAGATAGAGTTGATGTAGGCAACTGGAACAAGGATTATGATTGGGGTTGATGAGCATAAATGGATGGGGGTCTGAGGTCTGGTGATAGAGGGTACAATAAAAAATTAAACTAGCTTGTATAGTCAAAAAAAAAAAGTTTTCTCTAGTATGGGGCAGGAAGGTAATGACTAATGACAATAGACAAAAGGTTGCTTCATTTTTAATGCAGATGAGTTAGCAGGGCGACGTATTACCAGTTGAAGAGGTGAATCATGCTCGGTGCATTAGTGAAAGAGTAGGTCTTTCTTGGATGCTTGATCAGACAACCTACCTTCTCGTGTACAAATTCCAGTTACAGCATGCCAGGCAAGTGGCCAACCAGCCTTTTCTCAAAGGGTGAACACATTATCTCTTGACAGCTCTGTTAGAAAGCTTTTCCCTGTAGCTTCTAACCGCTGGACCCATGTCTCTTCTTTGGAGCCTAACAGGTCCGGCCTCGTCTTCTGCTGGGCATTCCGATATAGCTACTAAAGCTTCCTTCCATGAGCCTTTCATGTGCACCTCCTCTGCTCTCTCAAACAATACACAGCATGCCCTTGAATTTGAATCTAAGCCTTGCTGGTGCAGGTATTTTTATTTTTTATAACTTAGCTGTTATTAAGTGCTGATTATTTTACAAGACAGTTATGAAACCAAATCGAAACATTGTCAGTACCCTAAAGTAAATCATAGGGTAATGGGGACTGATGATAAGCCTTTACAGAAGACATAAAGAATCATTAAAAAAGAAGAGTATAACCTAACAGGTTCACTGGAAAGGGTACAACATGGGGCGAGGTGGGAGAGTTGTATCTGATCTTTACTATTATTACTATTGAGATAAAATTTAAATAGAGTGAAATGCACAGATCTTAAATGTACATTTTAATGATTTTGACAAATGTAAACACCATGTAATGCACACCCTAATCAAGATATAGAACATATCTGTCATCTAGGTTTCCTCATTCTCCCTTCCAATCAGTTCCCACCTCCACAGGCAACCTCTCTTCTGATTTCTGTCACCACAGATGAGTTTTGTCTGCATCACATAGTTCTGTGACAAATCAAAGTCCACATCAGAAGTCTGTCACTGAAGACAACATGGTAGGGAAGAAAGCAACATTCAGGCAAGTCATCAACACACTGTGTGCCCTTGGGCAAAATACTTAACTTCTCTGGGCCTTCATATGCAGGTTTGATTAAGTGATCCCCATGGTCCCTTCTAGCTCTGATATCCTCTTACACATCTAATCCACTCAGTCCCCTGAGCAAGAACCACCGGGGCTCCTTCCTCCCTGCTCACTCCTCTTCACCCTTCCATGTCCAGTTGACCACTATGTCACGTGAGTTCTTCCTTATAATTTTTCTGGACATGTCTCTTCCTTTGGCCCCTACCTCCTCTTCATTTCTTGCCTGTAATATTGCAATAACCATCTAATTACTCACCCTAGCTCTGTCTTGGGGACAGTAGCGGTTCAGTGGTAGAATTCTCATCTTCTATGCAGTAGACCTGGGTTCGATTCCTGGCCATTGCACCTAAAGTGCAACCACCACCCATCCATCAGTGGAGGTTTGCAGGTTGATATGATGCCGGACAGGTTTCAGTGAGGCTTTCAGACTAGGATGAAAGGACTGGCAGTCTACTTCTGATAAATGAGCCATTGAAAATCCTATGGATCGCAACAGTCCAGTCTCACTATGCATGAGGTTGCCATGAGTCAGGGGCCAACTCCATGGCCGCTGACAACTCTTAGTCTTGTCTCTGGTCCTCTTCAAACCATTCTTTTCACTTCCTCAGGGTTGTTGTTGTTGTTAGTTGCTGTTGAGTCAGTTCCCACTCATGGCGAACACATGTGTACAGATAGAACTGCTCCAGATTATCAGGCTTGTCTTCCAAGGTGCCTCTGGATGAGTTCAAACCGCGAACCTTTCAGCTTATAGTCGAGTACTTAACTGTTTGCGCCTCCAGGGAGCCCATAAGGGTAATCCTTGCTAAAATGAAACATTCTGGTTATCTCTATGTTTAAAATTCTTAAATGGTTCTCCCCCATCTAAGGTGATTCACCATCTACAGAATAGAGTTCATATTCTGAAATATGACAGTATGAAGGCTTTTACCATATGCCTCCACCCTCCTTTTAGTGACCTGTCCCCACTGTGCTCTGCCTGCAGTGCTCGGCCACTGCCTTGCAGCTCCCTCTCCTCCTTCACCCCCCTTCCCCTCAGGCGGCAGGAGGCACTTCCTTCTTCGTGCCCACATAACCCCTTATGTGTTCCCATATGGTGCTGGTTAGGGTATTATACATGCACGTCTCCCGACTATTTTGTGACCCTCTTGAGGGTTAATTCGTCTTTCTGTCTCCAGCATCTGGTGTATCACTTTGCTGAAAACACTTAACCCCCCAAAGTAATTATTCATGAGGTTGCTAAGGATGGTGGTTTACCAGGTCAGTGTTTATACCTTAAAAAAAAAGAGGAAGGTTTTCATGTGTTTCAGACCACTTTATCAAGTCTGATTCTGAGTTTTTCTTTCTAGTAGGTGCCATGGTAATAAAGGGTTAAAGTGAGGTTTGTCTTTTTTATTTGGAGAGGAGGGAGTATTAATAGGAGGTATCAATAGTGGACCTGTTGGTGTGAAGATGTTAGTCCTGTGCTCTGTACTGGCCTATCGAATGTGACTGAATATGCTTGTCCCGTTAGTTTTAGAATGGCAGGTTACTGTTTCTGCAAATGCAGAGAATTTCTTTCTAAAGGTCTTTGTGGTAATCAGCAAGCAGAAAAAGGAAAAAACTGAACATGACTGGTAAATACTGACCCAAGTGCCCAGGAACACCAGGATTTATAGCCCTTGTTTGTTCATTGTGGTTCACTCTGCTCTGACATTCAGTGTTTTGGGCTCTGTCTTGCAGTGTGAATCAGCATCACCACCTCAAGTGATCATTGCTCCATCTATATTTTTATCTTCTGTAAAACCTAGGTAAGAACCTTGATGCTATCCATGATGTCACTGTGGCGTATCCTCACAACATTCCTCAGACTGAGAAGCACCTCCTCAATGGAAACTTTCCTGAGGAAATCCACTTTCATGTCCGCCGATACCCCATCGACACCCTCCCTACATCCAAGGAGGACCTTCAGCTCTGGTGCCACAAGCGGTGGGAAGAGAAGGAAGAGAGGCTCCGTTCCTTCTATCAAGGGGAGAAGAATTTTTACTTCACTGGGCGGAGCGTAATTCCCCCTTGCAAGTCTGAGCTCAGGGTCCTTGTGGTCAAATTGCTGTCCATACTGTACTGGACCCTGTTCAGCCCTGCAGTGTGCCTGCTCATCTATCAGTACAGTCTAGTTCGGTGGTATTTTATAATCACCATTGTAATCTTCGTGTTGCAGGAGAGACTGTTTGGTGGACTGGAGATCATTGAACTTGCATGTTACCGTTTTTTACACAAGCAACCACATTTAAATTCAAAGAAAAATGAGTGAGATTATATGGTTGACAATGTAAAAAAACCTAGGGGATATTTTGGAAAAGTTCTAAACTTCTGTAAACCGAGTTGCATTTTTGCATGATGATGTCAAATATTTCATACTACCATCATTATTTGTTAAAGATATTTTGCATTTAATTTTGTGAGAAAAAATATTGCTACACAACAGTTTTTTTTTTGTTGTTTTGTTTTTTTTAAATCTCTGAACATAATTTTCGACACTGCTTAGCAGGGAGCTGTCGCTGTGAAGTAACTCGGGCCCAGAGTATTAAGCAATCATCAAGCTTGTAACAGAGAGTACACAGAAGTTCTTCTTACAGGCCCAATCTGATTACCTGCCAAACTCCCTAGATGAGAAGGCAGACCTGGACCTCTTGAGCATGGGCCCAGGTCAAGTGCCGGTACATGACTGCCCAGGTCACCTCACCAAGGTGAGCACTTTCTCCTGGCACCCCTGGCACACGGTGCCTGGGACTCCCTGCTTCTGCACTGCCCTTACCCCTTTCTATGCCAATCAAACCCATTCTACCCTTCTTCCTGAAGACCAGAAAACTGAAATCCCTGTTCTTAAACTAATCAAACATTTTGATAGGAAGCCCTTCATCATTCTTAAAATTTTGGCATTTAGCCTTGTGCGACCTAGGCGTCAGAAGACCACCTGTGCCCTTCTTTCACAAGGAAAATAAGACCTGGACGTGTCTCAGGAAGCAACCATAGGCTCTCCACTTGGAAACCTGAGCTTGAGTTTTAAAGATAGGAATTAATAGGGTTTAGTTCTTCACTCCTACTTAATGTTGCATGCTTAGTGCTGGTTTCCTTACAACTTGTTGGCAGGTGTAGCTTTTTCTGCATTAAAAATGGTATACATGAAGTCACTTTTTTAAAGGAAGGCTTGGAGAACATTGTTATTGCAGTCAGACACTGTCTTTTGAAGTTGCATGTCTTTTGAAGTATTTCTTTAAAACCTATCAAAAAAGGAAGGTTATTATGTCTTCTCCATATGCTGGGTGTCCAGCTTCTGCCCTTGAAACAGTAACAGCAGTGCTGCAGACAGGGCAGTAACGGTTTACTTACTCTGCCCTGGAGCCCCAGCAGGGTTACTCCTAAAACCAAACTGATGGACAGAAATGAATCCTTTTTAATAGTAGCAAGGGGTCTCTCTCTCTCTCTTTTTTAATCCCAAGCTTCCTCTTTCAGTATTAATATTTACACCCGCTTTTGACCAGTTGTTCACCTAAATATTCCTGTCATTTGGAGTCACTGGAAAATCTAGTAAACCAACAGCGTCAGTCTCCTTCTGAGGCAAAAGAAATGTATCCTCGTTTCCACTCTTCTTTTTACTTCAGTCACAGGGATGCTGGTCAGCGCAGCAGAAAATGTGAGGCAATTAAAAGTTCTGTTAGCAAACCTGCCAGCTTTATTGCTGTGTTCAGTCAGCCTCAAAAGCTACTTACTGCTTTGTGTACTCTTGTGGCATCAGTGCCTTCTCTTTAATTACACTTCATTTTTGCTTGACTGTGACTTTTACCCAACAGTTGAATTGCACATTGTGGTGAAAGGTAAACATGTCGTGAGCTGAACTTACAGAGCAGATACTTGTAGAAAGTACTGGTTGGGACAGAACAATGTTGACACATCATTTTTATTGGAAGGATATTAACTAGTGGCCCTACTGAAACTCACCAGCCTATATTTAAATGCCCCTCACAAGCTATTTTTAATCCTGCTCGGAGTTACAAATTAGTTATTATGCACATCTGCTCCAAACCCAGCTATTTAACCTCATGGTTTTTAAGGTTTTTTTGTTTGTTTTTTGCCCTAACCTTTGTTGTTGTTGTTGTTTTTCTGCCTTAGTAAAAGAGGTTTCTAATTTAGGTTTCTCTCAGACTTCCTTTGGTTACATTTGGAAACACGGAAACAGCTTAACAATTAGGATCACATTTGTCCTGAGTAGAAGAGAAAAGCTGCGCCCTCTACCCCAAATGGGTTTACAATGCAGCCAGCCAGTCCAAGCTGCAGTTGATTACTGACCACCTTCCGCAGTCACGTGCCTCCTTGTGCAAAATGTACCCTCTGGAATCTTTAAAGAGGGATTTGATTTTTTTTTTCCCTGCTAATTAGAAACATGAATGTGAGCTTTATTTGACCTACCTGGATTCATAATTATAAAGCACTAAAACTGACCAATAATCAACATTGTACTTGCTTTAAGAATTAGAAATGATAACGTCAAAAAGAAAGTCCCATTTGGGGGGTTTGTTTTGTTTTAGCTTTTTGCAATCAGTCTTCTTTTTAAATCATAACTGTTTGCATTTCTCTACATGTTTATTTGTGTTAAAGCCTTTTTCTTTTATTTAAATAAATAATTTTTAAAAAGAAATACACAGTTAATGATTTGGAACTGAGAGCTATTTTAAATTGATGCCAAAACGTCAAGCATGAATTACTTTAGCTTTTCAATATGATTGCCCCCAGTAATTACCCTTTCTACACCTTCTCTCCCTGTCCCTCCACACCCAGAGCCACTTCGGGTCCAGCTATAGCTGGACACTCAGTCCCTACTTAATGCCCTTTCGGTCCTTCGAAGGCGAACTCGATCGACTTTGAAATTTTTACAGTGCTATAGGTCTAATTGTTAAATCTTTAATTTACCATTCTGTAAAGTTTTAAATAAAGCAATTGTGGTTTATATAGGACATGAACCATTATACTTAAAATATGAACCTACAAGAAAGGGCCCTGGTTAGGTAACAAGTTCTTTAACCAGACATCTTTGATGAAACAAGCCAAAGTAATTTTAAAATTCATTAGAAAAACATGGCAAAGGACTTAAAGTAAATGTTAGAAAGAGCTCATAATTTCAGGCTCCTAATGAAATCCTTTCTTGTTTTTTTATGCTGTTACAATGCAGATTAAGGGGAAATAACATCTTCCATTTGAGTCACTGAAATTAATTATTCCAACAGCACCATTCAGAAATCTTGTATCAGGAGCACTTAGCAAGGCTGAGTTCTGCAGAGAAGGAGAATGTTCCAGCCAGCTTCAAGCCCTGGCCCGACCACTACGCCCTGGTGCCCCTTTGCAGTCAAGACTAAGGGAGGGAGCCTGTTGATGTTCAACTGTTTACATTTCTTTATATAAATAACATGCTTCCAGTGCCTTAGTTACGGTTCCCTTTTCTTGTTCCGAGAATTCTGTAATGCGTTTCTTAGGTAAATTCTCTTTGCTACTCACTGGGAGGAAATGGCTTGTAAGCACTGGTCACTGTCCTGGGTAAGCACCACTTGGTGATAACAGGGAGAAGAGAGCCAGATGCTGAGGTAGTGGTTGCCTTATACTGTTACGCGTGCTGTAGAAAGCAAACGTGTTTTTGTCACATGATGAGCTTCAGATCAGATACGGCCCTAAAGTTGTCTTGTACCTACCTTTCTTTCTTTATTTCATGAGAGAATCTTAGTTTTGGTAATTTTTTAAAAAAAGCATTATGTGCAAAACACCAATTTTAAAAATAACTCACAAAATGGCCTTAGTTTTCAGTGTCCACTGGTATGTTTGTGACTTGTATTATCTGTAATACACATCCCGGAATAAAATGGAGTGAATTAAATAGAGTTCACATGTGTGTTCTGTTTCTGTTTGCAGGAATGAGAACTATAGGTTATGATGCTACTTGGTTTCCCACGTTGTTATAGCCTTACAATATGTAGAATTTAGGGAGTTCTCATCAGGTAGGACCCTTTCTTTCACAAATGTGGGGGGTGGGGAGGATGGCCTAAACAAAAAGGAAAACATACTGCCTCCATAACTAAAAAAATCCAGAGGTCACGGTTGGATTCAGGGCTCCACGAATGTCATCAAAACTTGATTTTCTTCCATTTCTCAGTTCGGCCCTACTGTTAAAGGCAATTTGATCATTCCACAGGTGTGAGGTTCTTAGGGTATTTATCAGCACTGCCAGCTGCTAGAGGTAAATGGGATTCTATGCCCTGTCCCCCTGACCTGCCATTTTACTACGTATTGTTAGCTGTCATCGAGGCAACTCACAGTGACCTTACGTAAAACAGAACTAAACGTTGCCTGATCCTGCGTCATCATCCCAGTCGCTGGTCCACTGTTGTGGCTATTGTGTCAGTCATCTCACTGAGGGTCTCCCTCCCTCTCATTGGCCATCCGCTTCACCAAACATGATGTCCTCCTTCAGCAATTGATCCCCTCTGATGATGAGTCCAAAGCAAGCGAGTTGGACAATGGTCTGTTGTCATCCATAAGGTTTTCATGGGCTAATTTTCAGAATTTTTCCGTCTCTGTCTGGAAGCTCTACTGAAACCTGTCCACCATGGATGACAATGCTGGAAACTATATAAAGATAAATATGAATATCATCAAGATATTTGAAATACCAGCAGGGTATTTGAAGACGGGTAGAATCTTCTCCTGGACCACAGGGACCGAGGGCAGAAGAGAGATGAATTTTATGACAAAAATCCAGGACTGTTACTGAGAATAGGATAAAGTGTCAACGGTTGACAACTATTCAACTTCCCAAACTCCCGGCAGAGTTTGGGGAAAATCAGCATGATTTCCAGAGAGTCTGCCTAACCCCTGTGAGACGCCAAGAGGCTCAGCAGCTTCTCCATCAACAGCAGGGCATATCTGGGAACCAGAGGAGTCTCCATAGCTGTGCATGCACAATCTCCTTAACAACTGGGCCCCTATGAGTTCTTCAGTCACTGCCACCAGACAGATCATTGAGACTTAAGCGATAGAGTATCGAAAGCTTTTTTCTTTCAAGGGAAATCAGTTGAAGTATAAATACTGTGTAGTCCCTGAGTGGAACAAACTTAAGCTGCTAACCAAAAGGTTGGAGGTTAAGCCCACCCAGAGGCACCTTGGAAGAAAGGCCTGGTGATCTGTTTCCAAAAAATAATTGTTATATATTTACTCTTCCTGCAATCCCACTTCTATAAATCTATATCACAAATACACTGGAAAAAATTGCAAGATATATACATACAACTATTCATTGTAGCTCTATTTGTAAAAATAAAATACTAGAAACAACCCAATGCCCATATGTAGGGAAGTGGTAGAATTGTCCATGGTGTAATTAGGGGATTAAGGAGCCCTGGTGGCACAGTGATTAAGCTCTCGGCTGCTAACCAAAAGGCCTGTGGTTTGAACCCACCAGCCGCTCCACAGGAGAAAGATGTGGCAGTCTGCTTCCATAACGATTACAGCCTTGGAAACCCTATGGGGCGGTTCTACTCTGTCCTGTAGGGTCGCTACAAGTCGTAATTGACTTCAAAGGCAGTGGGTTGGGGAATTGGGTTCTGTGCAGCTGTACAGAGGAATGATGAACATCTGCACATTAACTGCTTTGGGAGTGATGCCCAGGATATGTGAGAAAGAAAGGTGGAGAACAACATGTATGGTTATGCTATCTTTTATCTAAGAAGGTGGAGGTGTACAAATTCACACATATGCTTGTATTAAAAACTAATTAAAATAATTTTAAAATATTCATCATAAAAGTAAAATGGCTGTGTACAAGAGGAGGGAGGGAATAGGATAGATGGGACAAGGATAGACTTCTCCGGATATATCTTATTTTACACACTTGACTTCAGAACCAAGTTAATGTTTTACATAATTATAAAATTAAATTTAAAAAATGGGAAAAGCAATCTCTAAAAACCAAAAGGAAAATGAAACAAAGGACCCTAATTTGTGTCAAGCGTGTGGAATTATTTCAGGTGAGTATAATGTATATCTCTAATAATATAAAACCTAAACACAAAAAAGTACCAAAAAACAAAAAGAATCTTAAATAGTTTTTGTCATATTGTTAGTAATATTCTTGGTTTATTTTCTGAAACTATTACATTTGCTGTAGTATAAGATAAAGCATTTGAGCAATTATGATAATGTTGCCAGGAACCAAGATTTTCAGTGTAAAAAATTATACATACACACATATATATAAATTAAAGAGGTTACGTAAAAATCTTGAAATCCTAAATTTGAATTCAAAATATCAGTATGAATTCATGATATATTTTCTCTTAAAAAGTACTTGGTAGCTCTGTCCATTGAAAATGCTCAGAAACAATGACCGACCCACTATCAGTGAGCACCCTGGTGCCCAGATAGATAACGGAAAATCATCTTCCACTAAAAGGAACCAGAGGCTCTTGAACGAATGATTGATTTCAGATCTGGGGCAAGAGAGGTAGACGGTGAGCCTAGATGTCTTGTGACACCAAAAAGAAAGGAAGCTTTCAAAGACAATTGAGGTCATGTCAAAAGGATCAGGAGCCAATTTAAAGAGGCTCCCACTGTCCAAAGAGATAATTAGAACACTAATGAGAATGATAATTGGAATGGATACAAGTGCACCAAATATGGTAAAAGCTGTGAGTTAATGATGCCAGAATAAGTAAAACATATTGATACATTTAGAAGATGCTAAATAACCAACTCATAACTCTGAAAACTGGCAACTAAAGGAAAACATTTAGCATTAACCTTTTCCCATATGAACTGTATCTCAAGGTAAATAGTTGAAGAGGAAAAGCTTCTCTCTGCAGAAGTGTGCCAGCTACCAAATGATGAAACTATAGACTAAAAGTGACTGCAGGCCACATTAATCAAATGCAATGTGTAAAGTTTGTTTGGGTCCTTATTTGAATAAATAGTTAAAAAAAATATGCAACAGTGTGTTACACAGACTATATATTTGATGATATTAAGGAATTTGTATTTCAGTGTGGTTGGTATTGTGATTCTGTTCTGAAAGAGTTCTTATGCTTTAGAGAATCACACTAAGATATTTACTGATCGAGTGATGTGATGTCTGGGTTGGGGAGTAGGTGGGAGATGGGTAAGCAGAGCCCTGAGGGCATGCGCGTGTACCTCACGAGGGCTACGTGAGGAGACATCGCTCCCCTTTGTGGAAGCTTTGAGTAGTCCAGTGTGAAGAGAAATTGCTGCCAGGTAATTGGCCTCGAGAGATTTTAAGATCCATGAATGGCTAAGTGGCCAGTCAGGTGACCAATGTGTGGGGAAGGGCCATCCCACCATAGCCATCTGCCATGGGACCATGTGGGGGCTCAGGGACCCTCTCAAGCAAGCTGCTGCCCCTCAACCAGTCATGGGCCTTCCAGCCAGTGTGCCAGGCCCTCAGCAGGGCCAGATTTCTGTTGTTGTCAGATGCCATCGATTCAGCTCATAGCAACCCCATGTACAACAGAACAAAACATTTCCCAGTCCTATGCCATCCTCACAATTAAGTTACTGTGTTTGAGCCCATTGTTGAAACCCTTGTGTCAATGCACCTCATTGAGGGTCTCTCTCTTTTTCACTGACCTTCTACTAAACATGATGTCTTTCTCTAGGGTTTCGTTCCCTCCTGATTATGTGTCCAAAGTAATCAAGACAAAGTCTCTCCATCCTGACTTCTAAGGAGCATTCTGGCTCTACTTCCTCCAGGACTGATTTGTTTGCTCTTCTGGCAGTCACATATATTTAATATTCTTCGCCAACACCATAAAGGGCCCAGAAGAGTACCAGATAAACACGCATTAAGTACACTGGGCTTTTCTCTCACCAGTGAGGTCTCCCCAGAGGTATCTCCCCCTGCAAACTCTCCCTGAAAGCCCCTTTGCCGTGACCTCACAGACACCCTCTTCTGGGGAGCAGCAGGGTCGTGGGCAGCAGCAGCGTTCTCTCTGGCCTGGGTACGAGGGTAGCCTCTGCACCTACCTCCCTGTCAGTGTGGGCTGTAAACCAGGTGCACATGGGATCACCTGTGACTCTATAAACTATCCAGCGCCAGGCCCCATCCCCACCCAACATCCCCGTGTGCAGCCTGAGCGCTACAATGTTTAAATGCTCCCAGGTGATCCTAGTGGGCTGTGGTGAATCCACTCTTCTAAGACCTTGGAGAAGCCACTTCCACTCTCTAGCCTACATCTCCTCATCTACCGAGTGTGCCTTGGGTCCCAGATGTTCTGGAAGCCCTGAGGTGGGTTAGGAGGTGATTTAATTCAGTAAACCTTTATTAACTACTTACTGGATCCGGGGCCCCAGGTGGGAAGGAGCAAAGATAATTAAGCTTTCTTCCTCGTCCTGCCAGGCACATGTGCGAACACACAACCACACACACACAAACACACACTTCTTTCCTTCTACGAACATTGTTTATGAGGCATCTCCTGTATGACAGGCACTGTGCTAGGTCCTTGGGGGTACAGTGGTGAACAGGCCATTGAGAGCAAATGTTTAAGCAAAGGGTGATGGCTGCTGTGATGGGGTGCACAGCACTCCCAGGAGCTTAGTGTAAGACCAGAGCCCAAGGAAGGCTTCCAGGAGCCATGACAGCTGAGAAGTCTGGAATCTGAGGGTAGAGATAGTACTGAATAGGACCTGAATCCCCTCCTCCCGCCACCGTTTGTTAGCCGGGTATAAAGGCTCCCAGCTGAGCCTGCCTTGGGCCCATACCCAAGCAGTGACAGTGCCTGGATGCCCCTGGTGAGGCAGCGTGGCATGGTGAGAATATGAGGGCTTTGGCGCTAGACACACCTGGGTGTGGCTGGTGCCCATCCCACTTGCCAGCTGTGGAACCTGGGCAGGCTGCTTGACCTCTCCGAAAATGGGGATTAGAGTCATACCTCTGTGATGGCTGTAAAGAGTCACTGAAATAATGTAGGTGACGTTCCTTCTGCCGTGCCTGCGCATACTAGAAGTGCAATAAAGGGTAGCTGCCGTAGTTTCCACC